CAAGAAAAAGGTGTGGTTCAGTGCAGCATGACATGATACAGCCAAGTTCATCCCCACACCTTGTTTTTTTATTTTATAAGCTTGAGCTTTGAAAGCCTACATAGAAACCCGTATAGATCCCTTTAACGAACCCTAAAAGGGGACCTAATTCCCTCTAAACCCTACATAAACCCCTGAAACCTAAACCCTAAAACCCTAAACTCTGAACCCTGAAGCCCTAAACCCTAAACCCGCAAGAGAATGATAAATAGAAGTTGCTTGTCATTGTTGGTAAGCCAAGCAACGGCCCAACATCCCAGTCCCAAAATCAAAGTGAAGTGGCAAACGAAGGGCACGCTATAGTTGGCATGTCTGCCACGTCCCGAACGGTTTCTAGATGTTGGCCAACCTTGAGCTGGGCAATAACGGAACAAGCCTCTTGATATTTCACGAGAGCAACACATCATTTAGGCCACGAATGGGTTAACAACTTCTTTAGGTTTGCATTTGACGGGCTCCAAACCTTGTGTTATTATTTATCCAGAGGATCATGGACTCCGAATCTTGTGGGATTGGCGTTCAGACGGACATGGACTCCGAGCCATATGGGGTTATCATTCAGAAGATCATGGGCTCCGGTCTCAGACTTGTTCGTGAACCTTTCGCATCGAGCGGTCACCGCCTTCTCTGAAATAGTGGATAAGTTCGTACCTCCGCACAGAATCGGAGTCTAGCTGTACCGAATCCCTCGATGATGCCAGGGTCCTGCGTCTAAACTATCAGTTGCACCAACTTTATGGCTCGCCTTGGTCTTGATGTCCGGACAAAGTATTGACCCGACAGAGTCTGAGTACATGATGTAGCTGCGGCTGCTCGTCTGGCCTGCTTTCCAGAAGCCGTTCCGGTGTCCCTCTTTTTTGTGGCTAGGTTACTTGTTTTGTCCGTCGTGGCACTGCCACCCCGTTCCCAGGTTTGGCGATACCCTTGTCATGGCCCAGCTGACATCGGCGTGCTTCATGCCAAGGAACCACCCGCCGGAATGGTGCTTCCACGAATCTCGTTTGCACGTGCTGGCTGGTTTTCAAAGCGCACGCCATTGTAGGCTGGGAACACTTTCCGAGGCAACGCGATAGTCCTGAGCACGTGGGGTGAAGTCAACAGCAAATGGGCCGGGGGAGATCTCGATGGAGATCTGAATTTCGCATCGAGCTCGGTCCCGCGATCCAGTCCGTTGAGCCCGGCGAGTCTGAACAAGCCATTGCTTGTGCAGATTTGTGAAGGTCTGCTTTCTCGCTGCCCTGGTCCAATTGGTTCAAGACACTGCACCTTTCGTGGATGGGCAGGACTACAAGGCTCGGTCGAGGCTGATGCACTGTCCGGTCTGGTGTATACGATCCTAGTGACTCAGGCTATGGAAGCCGAAGTTCTGACCGAGCTACAAGACCGGAAGGTCGCCTTCGAGCATGCAGATGTGGCGTCGAGAGGAAACCTGGCTTCGACTTCAGGCTCTGTGGTCGTCGCTTCGTGTTATGCTCCTTTGCCTCCATCTGTCTGATGGATGTCATTCTGGGATTGGGACGTTGAGGCAGTGAATACATCAAGTTCTGTCTCGAAATGAAGACGCCGCGACTTCGCGGCATCGCGTGCCGACTGGCGGAAAGAGCCGCTAGTCGGGACATCGATGCTATGCTGATAGGCCGGGTGCATATGCGTGTATACCTGCAAGTACGCGCGCTGCCCGGCACATCTGCCCGCTGCGCTGAAGTTGATCGTGCTGGCTCGCAAGGATGGTGGTTGCAAACCAAGGGGTCGCGTCAGGGGCAGCTATATTCGCTGAAGAAGTAGAGCACTCTGCAAACTTGCCACGCCGCCTCTGTGCTCAGGCGATGGACGCACCCAAGAAATACGATATAGACGAGCTTATCGCTCCCTGCAAGGTGTGGAAGAAACGATGCCACCTGACACTTTTCTTTGTTCAGTGCCCTTGTAGTCCTGACGGCATAGTGGTTTGATCACGTGGCTCTTCGGTGCAGCAAAAGTTGTCAGAAGGAAAGCCCTGGTTGCATGTCGAGGAGGCGTCAAGCCTTCCTCCAAGACCGTATTGGGGTCGCTCCGGGCCTTCCCCCGCTTGGTCGAGACACCCCCGGAGGGACCGGCCAAGAAGCCGAACTGGTGACGGCTTTGCCTGGATGAAGTCAAGAGGGACACCGTGCAACATGCTCGCTTCGATACTTGCCATTCTCAGCTTTACTGACCCTGTGTGTTTTTTCTGCCTCTCTTTCATGGGCTTCTGATTCCGGCTTTCTTGTTTGCACCGCCACTGTATTGCTTTGTCTGCGAATCCGCATGCAAAAATCAAGTTTCCAACAGAAGGACACGAAAGCAGGTCGCAAAAGTCTCTCGCAGAACATCAGGGATCCAGGGACCAGGCCGCACATAGCTGGAACCATGCCCTGACCTCAGCATACACAGCAATGATAGCACGAAGATTTGCAGAGCCAGGAGATGCGACTGCTGTTTATGCACTTTAACAATTTCTATAAACCCGAAAGCCCTAAACCCTAAAACCCTAAACCCCAAAGCCCTAAACCCTTACAGCGGAAGCCCAGGATCAGGATCTGCAGAATCTCTTTAAGGAACCCCTAAAAGGGACCCTAATTCCTTACATAGATCCCTTTAAAAACCCTGACTCCCTACAGCGGGAGCCCAGGAACCGGATCTGCAAAATTCCCCCTAAACCCTAAAACCCCAAAACCCCAAAACCCTAAAATCCTAAAACCCTAAAACCCTAAGACCCTGAAGCCCAGGAACAGGATCTGCAGAATTTGGCCTGGGCCTTGGCCATCTTCCGCCGCGGCGGAACCGGCTTGGACGGCCTTTCTCTGCCAAAGATGCAACTTCAAAAGGCTGCCTTGGACTGCACTTCTACAGTTTGTAGGGTATCCAAAAGTTTATAGGGCTTCTAATGCCGAGGGTTTACAGGGCTTATAGGGTCTAGGGTTTAGGGTCGAGGGTTTAGGGTTGATCGAGGGTTTAGGGTCTAGAGTTTCGGGCTTATAGGGTTTAGGGTCTTGGGTTTAGGGTCTATAGGGTTTAGAGTCTAGGCGGATATGGACTGCACTTCTATAGTCTGCAGGGTGTCCAAAAGTTTATAGGGCTTCTAAGGTGCTTCTATAAGTTTAGAGGCTTGTAGAAACAGGTTCCTTGCGTATGCAAAAAGTGGACAGATCAATCCCTCATAGTACCCCCCACAGATCCCCTAAGCCCTAAACCCTGAACCCTCATCTCTAATCCCTCAACCCTTATAAACCCTAAACCCTAAACCCCCAAACCCCTAAACCCCTAAACCCTAGACCTGAAACTAAACTAAAGGCTCCCAACTTCGCTGTGCGGCCGGCCAAAGGCGGTCAGCTTGAGGCCGAGCTCACCACAACGCCGGAGAAGTCGCCCGGCGTTCGCTTTAGGGTTCAGGTGGTTTCAGGGTTTAGGGTTTAGGGTTTAGGGTTCAGGTGGTTTCGGTGTGTTTCAAGGCGTTGTGTTTTAGCATTGTGATTGTAGAGGATTTGGGGTTTAGAGCGTCAGGGGTTCTGGGGCTCGGGGGTTTGAGGGCTCAGGAGGTTTGAGGTTTACGGCGAAGGGTTTAGGGTGTAAGGTTTCCCTAAATTAACCCTAAAACCTAAACCTGTGTCAGGCGTAAGCACTTGGCTGCAGCTGCTGCAGATTTCCAGGCCCTGGAGCAGCGCGAAGAGGCCCCGACTGGTTTGCAACTCGATTCATGAATTTAACAAGTTACCATCATGGTTTTTGTTTGGAGATATGCTTGCCATCATCTGGCGCTTATAGTATATAAACAGTACAAGGCTCCCATATATAGTAACTTAAGTTACGTTCCTTAAGAAGGCCCTAAACCCTAAACCCGCACGAAGCCCTAAACCCTAAAGCCTCAAGAGCTCAGGCAGGTGGTCTCCAACGACGCCTTAGCCGAGCTGCTGCAGTCTGCGGAGCTGGTGGAGCCAGCAGAGCTGACGAGTGCAGAAGAAAAAACGGTGCAATTCACGTCGTTGAGACTAAAAGCTTACTAGAATGGATCTTGAAAAGGCTTACTATAAGGGTCTTGAGATATAATGAAGCGTTACTATAAGGGTCTTGACAAGGCTTACTATAAGGGTCTTGAAATATAATGAAGCCTTACTATAATGGTCCTGAAAAGGCTTACTATAAGGGTCTTGAGAAGGCTTGCTATGATGAAGCCTTGCTATTATAATGGTCTTGAAAAGGGTTACCACAAGGGTCTTGAGAAAGCTTGCTATAATGAAGCCTTACCATAATGGAATTGAAAAGGGTTGGGTTACTACAACGGCTCCATATAGTTGGCTATAATACGGAGTTTTTTGGAGTCATGATACGGGTTACTACGAGGTTTGCATGAAGGGTTCCATTAGGGTTACCAAATCGAGACAGCTTTCCTCTAGCCCTAGGCTCGCTTCTGTTGGGCTGCCACAGCAGCGACACCCCAGGTCATCGTCACGGACAACCCCGAAACCCTAAACCCTAGTCATGAACGGATAAATCACCACACCGTGAACTCCCAGGGCTACACGCCCGGCTAAAACCCCAAACTCCCCTTATCTGGGTGTCGGGAGAAGTGGAAACGGTATTCCTTTGTCGTTCCTCATGGAACCGCAGCATAATATAAACCTCCCAACCCTGTGCACATTGTGCTCACGAAGTGGGTTTCCAAACTGCGCATCAGCCGATCAGTTGATCCGCTGATCGGCCGATCGGCTGGTCGGGTGATCGTGTTTGGAGTTTAAGGGTTTAGGGGTTAGGGGTTTAGGGTTTACAGGTTTAGGGTTTGCAGGTCAAACCCTAAACCTCAACCCTATTTAGGGTTTAGGCTTTAGGATTGATCGGCTGATCGGTTGATCGTAGACACTACACCCTGTCCTCGAAGGAGAGAACGTCAAGAAAATCAAGAAAATTAACAAGGGGCCTAAATAATCACCAATACTATTTTGGGTGGTCCTCGTTATCAAGGTGATATCATATACCCCCCAAACCAACTTTCAATTTATCAAGGCCCCAATATTATTGAACCGTCATAGTAACCCCGGAAAGGAGCCCCTAACGGAACTCTTCGTCTACTTCTTAAGGCCTCTGTAGTACCGGCAGGTCCTCGAACCCACTGAACACCAAGGGCCTCGTTGTCGGCGACGGGGGACTACTCGAGGCTGCCCCTGTCAGAGTTCCTTCAAAAGGGTTCCTTTCAAATTGGTTTAGGGTTTGGGGTTTGCGGGTTCCTTTTAGGGTTTACTTGTTTCGAAGAAGGGGTCTGCTGCGAAGGGCTAGTCTTGCCTAAACCCCTAAACCCTAAGCCCTGGTTTCGGGCTGCTGATTTGTGGGTTTCATGATTTAAGGCTAAGGATTCAAGTTGGTGATTGCAGCTCCCAGTTACACGGATTTGGGTCTTTGTATAGATTTGCTACTGTAGGGGCCTTAGTAGATAGAATCTGTTTCGGGGTTTGTTGTAGTATACAGTAGACACTTACAGTAAGGAAGTCGATCAAGGAATAGTATTACTTTTCTTTTCAGGTTTCGATATTGGCTCCACTTGAGATGTCGACTTGCTGTCTCACAAGCAGCCCCGGACTTGAGGCAATGTCGCAAATCTGTATCTATGTCTGCAGTCTAGCACGAGCCTGGCCAGTTGCAAGTGTATGAATACCAACGCAACAAAGCTTCATGCGGAACACAAATAAAGAGAAGCTTCTGGACAGGACAGTGTCAGCAAACCTACTCCACAGCCTAGACTTCCCGTGGCTCCAAGTACCGCCTAGTGTTCACGGCTGCACCCCGTAATTGAGGTCAGGTGTCACAACCTACCATGTAGCAGGCTTCGGTTGCAGGCTAAAGAGTCTCTGCGATTTTGGGGATAAGAGCCCAAAACCACAACCCGGACGAAATCTCTGACTAAGCAGTATGCCGTTAATCATAGTCAGGATCCCTCAATCGTGATTTGTGCTTGTCGAGCCCGTGTGCATATAAGAACCCGTTTCGAACCTTGCGAACGCTTATAGTTCCTGGGCAGAGCTTATGAGAGGTTGTGGGAAAGCCCTCTAAAGCCCTGATAGAGTTCACCAGGCTTCATTACAGCCTTGCTGGAGGGTCTTTGGGAACATACGGGAGACCCAACCGAGCTGATTCCTACTGTAGGTCTACGGCCTGCGCTACTGGCCAACATGGAGCCTTCTCTTGAAATATTCAAAAGCTTGTTGAAGTGTTTGCAAGGGGTCCGCTTTAGTCTTAGAGAGGTATTGTTTTGGGTGTCAGAGCAGGCGATCACTATTCGTGTTTGTTGTTTGAGTAGTCTCACCACCAGTGCCACTTGCATGCCGTTCTTCCAAATTCTTCGTTCTTCAATTCCTGAAGGCACCGTTCCGAAGACAACCCCAGAACGCCCTATTGAAAAACACTCCCTGGGTCCCGAACACAGCCCAGGTCTTTAGGCCTCAAAGATTTGCTTTTGAATAGTATAGGGCCGAAACAAATACCAATATTACTTTGGGGCTTCCTGATTATAAATATAGCATAATGGGCCCAAAACCCAAGTCTAATAATAAAGGCGCCATAATGACCCCTAACGAGGTTTGATCCTGATTGTGAGGACCACCACTTAAAGCACATCCAAGAAGCCGCCCAATAAACAGAACCTGATAAAGACCCCAATGCCAGCTCCTATCAAAACCGTACCACACCCTATGAACAGATGTAGCTAAATCCCTAGACGCTAAACCCTAGTAACAATTCTGCCTGTTTGCAGGTGGAAGAGGGCCCACAAAACAAAAGAAAACCTAGTAACACTTTTATGAACTCTAACGCGAAATCTGTTTTCTCGCGCCGAGGACGCGGCTGGCAAGCACTGCGATGCCTGGAGCCACAGAGCTGTCCTTGCAAGACCAGGTCAGAATAGACTGTCGATTATATATACATACACACACACACATATATATATATATACATATGTATTTATGCTTATGTTCATGTTCATTATATAGATAGATAGATAGATAGATAGATAGATAGATAGACATGGCCGGAATAGACGTGTGAGTATATATGACCGGGCCTGATTTTCTGTTGTTCAAGGCTTCCTATGTCGGTGCCATTCGGGTCTTCGGGCATTGGGCTTTTACGGCTTAGGGCAGATGATATGAAGCAAGTCTTACTTCAGAGTTGTTGTTAGTGTATTTAGGGGCTCGCGTCATTCGCAGGTGCACATTTGGCGTCTCATCAAGGGTAATACTCCTTGGGGATCGCACAGCTTTGGTTGGATCAGCGCCATCATAGAAACAGCAGCAGGGCAATGGGCCGAGGGTTTAGGGTTAAATTATGCATAATAAGGAACCTTGGTCTTGTTTTGCTAAAGCCTCAAATCGGGGCTACGCAGTACTGACCTGAGCCCTATACCCTAAAAATGTGCTGGCCCTCGCCATGGTGGACTGTTCTGTCGGCCGGAGTCCCATGAAGCCTGCAGTCCTAGGAAACCTGGAGGAGCTCGTCAAAGCAAGGCTAGCTATAGTACGACAAGCAGTGACAAGAAAAGTCGAGAAGCCCTTGACGATGACAAACTCATGCTTGTGATCGTACCTGCATGTGCTTTAAGTGATAGCGCCGTTCCATATACTCGCAGTTTCAAGTTGGATCTAGTGTTCAACATCGTTCGTGACTCGCGTGCGGCGGACATCACCTACACAAAAATGAGGTACTAAACATTTTTTAGGGGAAAAAATATTTTTCCCCTATAATATGTTAAGGCCCAGCGAGCCCTCCCCTCCTGCGGGCTCTCCTTTGTCATCTCTGTGCAGGTAGATTGGAAGGTGGGTCAAGAGGTGGCGGTCATCACCACGGCCTGGACGGATGAACCGGACCCTCGAAAGGGGTTAGGCTTGGAGTTCAGGGTGCGGGGGTTTGGTGTATTTTGGTGTATAGCATCTAGCTGCCTTCTCCAAACTGTTCACAACTTGTGTTTGGATATCGCCCATGAACCCGAAGCCCTCTAACCCTCAAACCCAGAAGCCTTGAACCTGGGCCGGTAGCATGGGGAGTACAACCCCGAGGCCTTCAGTCACCCAAACAGACCAAGAAGCCGATTTCCGTGTTGTGCAGACCCTTAAACCCTAAACCCTAAACCCTAAACCCTGATCCACCTTGAACTCTTCAACCCCGGTATATCCCAGAGTCTATTCTGATGATTCAATAATTAAGGTCCCTGTGTTAGGAGCCTGGGTAGTTTCAGGTTTCTTCACGGTAGGGTATGAGTAGACACTAGCAAAGTGGTGTAGTTACAGAATCTTACATCTCTCTGTGTATATACACGCAAGTACACACGAATGACTATTTAGGGGTGTCTGATATCTTGGTCGGGATCCTTGTACTGAGGACCCGATGACTTTAGAGTGCAAACCAGGAACCCAGAAAAGTGTTGTTGTTTGCAATATCATTCCCCACCTACCATAGTAGAGTTTGGAGGTGGCGGGGTTCAGGTTTCGAGAATATAGAGTCTAGGGTATTCCCCATTGTCCGCCTTAAACTCAACTACCCTGGCCCGACCTGCTTTGTGACTCCAGACCCTACAGAAATCGGGCTTGCAGTCGATGGTATACCTTCAGAATCCTTCCTCTTGAACATCTGGCAGCTTGGGACGCTTGAAGACATGGCAAGCGGGCTGGGCACCTGCCGACATCTTCGGCCACACAGGGAGCATGGTCCAGCTACCTCACCTGGACCGCAGAGATTTCGACCACCTCCTGGCTGCTTCGTATTACAAAGCAGACCGAACCACAGCGCACCGGGCTGCGGAAGATGTTTTCAAGAGGCCGGCTGTCGCAAGAGGACCCGCCTGCTTGGCTTCCGCTGGTTGGCTACGGTCCCGTTCTCTCCAAGCAGTGGCTAAGATGATCCGGGCAGACCCTCGAAGCCCCGCAGATACCCAAGCCACTCAAAGGATCAAGCGATATTAAACCCAACGCATAGGCCGTTGCCCACCTAGTGAGCGGCCCGCATCCATGAGGGCGGTAACACCCACTCTCAACTCTGTGCCGGAGCATGTTCCTTCCAGGAGCACTAAACCCTAAACCCTAAACCCCTAAACCCCAAACCCCTAAACCTTAAGCCCTAGACCCTAAACCCGGAGGAGGAGAGTTCCATGAAAGCTACATGAAAGGCCTGCGTCCGACGAGCTACAGTTCCAGCGAAGGTGACCGCCCCTGAGCCCCTCTGAATCCTAGAGATGCTACCCTAAAGGGGTCCAACACAGGACCCTTAGGGGTAACTTAATTCCTGGTTGTTTTTTGTTATAGCTTTCAGGCCTTACATGGGTTCAGAGATTTCAAGGTAGGTAGGTTGCTCGGACAGAGCCAGACCTTGAGACCCAAAGCTGGAGCTGGGTTCAGCACTTGGAGTTTAGGTTGATCCAGGGCTCTCGAGTTTGGATTTCAGGGATTTTTTAAGTTGTGGTTTGGGATTTCCGAATGCCCCTAAACCCTATGAACCCAAGACCCTAAACCATCCACCCGACTGAAACCTTGAGGACAACCACCAGAACGAAGTACGAGAGATCGCCAGCGTCAGCGCCTTAGTACTCTTCTTTCCAAAGGCCCCAGGAGAGAACGATGCCGCGGCCAGCAAGAGCACTATGGAACTAGGCCCTCCCTTATTTCTTTAGGGCCTGAAACATTCGGATCCCTCTGTAGGTAGGGGGTGTCTTCCGAATTCATCCCCCAAACGGGCGCTCAGGTCAGCGGCACGCAGATCACGCTGACTGAGGGTCTGGAGTTCGGCCACTACGGCGGACCAGAGCACCCCAAGCTGCAAGCCAGAGACCCACATTGGTCCCTAGTTGGTCAAGAAATGGGCCTCGAATCGCAGGAAGTTATTAACATAGGAGCCTAATACACCCCAAACCCTATTCTAATTATTAAGGCCCCTACATTGACCCTTAAAGACTGGAGCCGTGATGTCAAGGATCCTTGTATAGCCTGGTAAGTTGCCCGATCAGGAAGCCCATAACCCTACCCTATACAACCCTAGGTCAGGTGCCATCAAGTTACCTGTTATACATACATACTTCAAGGGGTTTCGGGTAAAGGGTTTGAGAATAAGTACGCGCGCCAACGTTGTGCTATGGCTTCCCTGAGTTGAGGTTCCCTTCGAGACAGCCTTCCTAGCTGTGAATTCGCAGCCTACGATAGTCTACCTTTTGCAGGCAGTTGCAGACACCGAGAACAGTCCCCTGCTTTGCTGTACGCGTGCAGGGTGCTGAACATGAAACAGTCCGCGTTTAGGGGTTTACGAGTGGCGGCTGTGGAGGTTCACGAGCTTAGCGGATCCAAACCCGACTTTTGTTTCCAGGACTTCGAAACCGCAAGCAGAGCCATCTAGGATTCTATACCTTATAGACCTAGGCGTAAACTGTCGTCAACTTATTCATGCTACCGTCCCTCGCAGGTATTCTGCAGAGGTGGCACTGCTCTCCAGGACCATCACCTTCCAAGGCGCGATCTACTTTGTGGGTCTTGAAACCTAGTAGGTAGGCTCTGCGAAGAAACACGGGGTGTCCCCAGACAGGGTACTTTGACTCCACTTCTAACCTACTTGCGAAGTCCCCTGTTCCTGGAAGTAAGGGCTATTGAGAGCCGTATAGGAGCTGCTAAGGGGTCTGTAAGGGTTCCTTAAGGGTTGTGTCAGGATTCTATTCGGGCTTAGGGTTTGCCTGCGGTCCGATTACCTGTATAAGAAGGGCTGTGCCATCCAATTAGGGGATCATCACTTACTGTTCGTAGGCTTTCAGGGCTACAGGTGGAGAACTTTAGGGTTTGGGTCGTATAAGCACCTTAGTTTGACCATGGCTATGTTCGTGTCTTCCATCTCCTGGACATCCCAAATCTCCAAAACACTAAATACCAACTCCACATCCAAACAGTGACAGGAGCAACAACAACACTTCTTGAAGACTATGCACGGCAGCGGGTCTTCTGGTGCTAAGCTCAAGCCTAAGCCGGAACACGGTAGGGCTTACTGTGAAGGTATGGGGTTGTGGGTTTAGGGTCAAACCTAAGCCCGAGCGCTGTCTGATCAGGTGGCTTGATCTGGGGCTTCAAGCGGAAGCCGAAAACGCAAATCCCCAAACCTTACACCCCCAAAACCCTAACACCCAAAAGCCCTTCATGAAACCCTGGAGCCCCTTATAAAGCCCCCTTGTTTTCTCAAGCCTCCATGGCACCCATGTAAGATTTCAATCAGCAAAAGCCGCCCAAGACCCTAAACCCTAAACCCTAAACCCTAAACCCTAAACCCCCAAGAAGCAAAGAGCGCCGAGCAGGCGATGAAGCGAGTGAGTCGACCCGCCATTTGGCCGCTTCGGGTGTCGGAGAGCGCGGGGCAACTCGAGGGCTCCCTAATATAGTACCCCCAAATAGTAGGATCCCTATTATAAGGACCCCCAAATAGTAGGATCCCTATTATAAGGACCCCCAAATAGTAGGATCCCTATTATAAGGACCCCCAAATAAGGTACCCCCTATTTTGGGGCTCGGAATAATTTAGAAAGAATCGCCCACTCCCTACAATTATAGCAGATGATAGGATGGTTTAGTAGCAATGATATCCCCAATGGTCCCTGGATGATTCGGGCATGCTCTATCTATGGGTCCTCATCAAGGGATTCTAGGAGTTCGGCCACCATAGCATATCCTTCGTTTCGTTTTTTTTGTAGCTCCGCAAAGCTCGAAGTGTTGAATGTGGAGCAACTGTACAAGCCCAACAAGTGGGGGTTCCCCAAAATAGGGGACCCTAATATAGTACCCCCTAAACCCTAAACCCTAAACCCTAAACCCTATTAATAAGGTACCCCCCCTATTTTCGGAAGCCAACAAGTGGAGCTCTTGGGTTTGATTTGGGGCCGTGATGCAGTTGAGGGTATAAAGCCTGCATTACCCAGACTAAGGAATGTACCATCATTCCCAGAGTTTAGGGCCCTTAAGGTAATGCAGGGTTTATATCATCAACAGTACCCTTCGAGTTCGAATTAGGTGCTAGGGACACTCTGCAGTTTCGAGATTCTGGGTGCCTGAGTCCTGTTTTTTTGGCTCTAAATGCCAAGAGGGCCCACATACACTACTATGATGGAATTAGGTCCCCAACACCGTAATGAGGATCGTCTTTTGGGACCTAATTCCACAAT